TAGCAAGACCCTGCCTCAAAAAATAAAAATAAAAAAACAGGGACATCAGCATAAGGACTGGATAAGCCAAGAGACCAGGCAAAAGCAATGGCACAGAGAGCAGAAGGAAACCCACTACTGCACAGCCACACACTAAGGAAATAACACACCACTGTGCAGCCAGCCACACACTATTCCTGCCTTCAGTGGGGCTGAAATACCACTCCACCTAGCTGTAGTTCAATGTGTGGAATGTATGTGCTTAGAAACCCTCCACACAAATCAACACCTATCACACCTATCACTCAAGCTTCTGGTTCCCCTTAACGACATTCAGAAGGAAGCACTCAATCCAAATGAGAAAAAATTCTTAGATTGATCACGGTTGTTAGGGTACTGGGATTCAAACCCGGGTCCTCTGCAAGAGCGGCCAGCGCTCTTAACCTCTGAGCCATCCCTGCAGCCCCCACAGTTGAGTATTTATTTAAAACAAAAGAACCATGTCTCCTATGGGAGACACAAGCTCCTCTTTTGCACAGCTAAATATTTGCAATTATACTGTGCAGAGCATTCTATAGCAAGACAATTAAACAGAATACAGAGAAAAAAAGAAAATCCCAGTAAGAAGTTATTTCAAGGGCACCAACAAATGGATTCTAAAATGTAGACAATGAGGCAAAAAGACACAGAAGAGCCAACACAATATTGGAAGTGAACAGAATCAAAGGGCTAACACACTCAACCCTCAAGACTACAGCAATCAATAGTGTGCACTCTACTGGCAAAAGAATGGACAGATCAACAGAAGAGAACAGAGAGCTCAGAATAGAAGTGATCTCAGATAAAGGGGCAGGGCAAAGCAATGGAGTGTGGCTGTCTTCTTGACAACCTTTGATGAAAGGATATCCACAAAGGGAAAAAAAAAAAGAATCCAGACCCTTCAGAAAAATGAACCTAAGCCATGTGTGATGGCACTTGGGAGGCAGAGGCAGGCAGATCTCTGAGATCGAGGCCAGCCCAGTCTATATAATAATGAGTTAGTTCCAAGCCAGCTGGGGCTATAGGAAGACTATTAAAATGGACTATAACCCTAATTGTAAAATGCAGAATAATAAAACTAGTACACACCAACATAAGACAAAATCCAGATGATGTTAGGTATGATGATGACTTTTTAGATGTACCAATAAAGGCAAGATCCAGGGTTAGGGGTGTGGCTCAGTGATGGAGCTGAGTGCATGCTGAGCCTGCTGGAGGCCCTGAGTTTAATCTCTACCTTGGAAAGACTAAAGAAAAAAGAAAAGCCAGGCATGGTGGCTCACACCTATAATCCCACCACTTTGGCATTTGAGGCAGAGGATTATCAGGACTTCGGGGCCAGCCTGAGATACACAGTGAGACTCTGTCTTTTTTAAAAAAAAAAAAAAAAGCCGGGCGTGGTGACACACGCCTGTAGTCCCAGCACTTGGGAGGCAGAGGCAGGTGGATCTCTGTGAGTTCAAGACCAGCCTGGTCTACATAGTGAGTTCCAAGACAGCTGGGGCTACAGGGAGACCCTGCTTCAAAAAAACGACACAAAAAAAAAAGTAAAAGAGAAAGAAAAGCCAGCCACTTAGCCAAGAGGGCTGAAGCCAGTTAAGAGGTTCATCACATGAGACCCTCTGTCTCAAAACAAAACAAGAACCGGTGAACATGCAATGTCCTCTAGGAATTCAATCCAGCCCTACACAAGCATGTTAGTGCTCTGCTTTCAAGGCCTGTAGGTATGAAGTCCTGGGGAAAAATATAGATGGTGGGAAAAAACTGGTTGTGTTTGGTTCTCTTTGAATGAGGCCTTACAGGAGGAATTTTAAAAGCAGTCATGGGGGAAAGGCTGCCAAGCAGAGGGTAGGACAAAGAAAGGCCGGGCACTGAGACACAAAGCTCATTCAGAAGCACTGGGCCCAAAGGAAGGAGCTTGGTGTTGAGTCACTGTGGTTTGGGGGAAGGGGGTGATTTTAAAAGTTTAAAAGTTTACCTTCTGAAAGGTAGACCAGAGCCCAAGTTTAAACTCTGCAAACGAGGTTACATTTTATTCCTAGGTACAAAAGCCATGGGAGTAAAGGAGTGATAGTTGAGAAACACCCAGTAACAAGAGGGCCCAACACTTAAATGCTTGGATCCCCTGACCCTCCAGTTAGTATCTAAGCAAGGATAGGCTGGTTCTAGGCTGTCCCTGGGCCTTAGTGACCACAAGTGGGAGAGGGACTTCTGGAAGAAGGCAGAATCAGAAATGGAAAGGGTGACGCCGAGATCTAAAGCAAAGACAGGTGCACATTCTGGGGGTGAAACCTGTGACAAGCAGAGTGGGCTGTGCTGAGGTGGACTGCAGGTGGACTGGACCCAAGGAAAAGCTAATTTTTGTGCAGTCTTTTTGTTTGGGTGGGTGTTTGGATTGAGTCAGGGTTTTCCTGTAGCCCCAGATGGCCTGGAACTCACTATGTAGACCAGGCTGGCCTAGAACTCACAGAGATCCACCTGCCTCTGCCTCCTGAGCGCTGCGATTAAAGACCTGCACCACCACACTCAGTTCCTAATTTTGTTTTAAAGCTAGGTATCACCGACTTCCCCATGTTCCGAATCACCTTTTCTCCTTATTCAACACACTCTATAACCATAGTTCGTTCCAGACCACAGGACTGAGAGGCAGTGTATGGCAAGCTAAAAGAAAGTACTGTCTTCCAAGACTAACTCCTGAGAAAACTAACAAGGCATCTTCAATGATTTTGCAATGTCTGGTGAGCCAACAGATTAAACTAATGAGTGACATTGCCTGGAGAGAACCACCAAAAAGCTTAAGGCTGGATACAGCATGTTCAGACAGACCCCATCCAGTGTGGTGGAAAAGGAGTCGGGGACAGTAGAGGGCTATCAGTTGGGCCACTGATCTCAAGCAAGTCACTTCTCTAAGAGTTTTTGTTCTTGGTGTTTTGGGTTTTGGTTTTATGGAACAGGGTCTCATGTAACCCAGGCTGGCCTCAAACTTCGAACCTGCTATGTAGCCAAGACTGGCCTTGAATGCCTGATGCTCCTACTTTCCTCTTGGGATACGGGCATGTCCTACCAGGTCTAGCTTTCCTTCTCCAGGATTTTTCATTTTACAGACCGATGGGTGCATGACTTAGAATCACTCTGCTAGTTGAGAGCCATCAGGCTAAGCTTTGGTACAAGTTTCTTTCCAGCACTCGACGATGACTTAAACACCCATGGTCTTATTTTCTCTACCTTCTACCAACCGCCTTTTAACTGTTGCTCAGAAGCTTATCTGTGAGAGGGACTTGAAGCACAAAGAGGAAGTGAAGTCCAATCCAAAGAGTTAATTTTGCTGCATTTGTGACTCTGGTGACAAAGACTGGGCAAAGAAATGGAATCAAATGACTAGAATTGGATTTGGGGATTATCAGTGACAGTCAGCCAGCCAGTTTCTAGACACTAAGCACTCAACCAGGTCAACCAATCAAAAGAAAACTAGCAGAAAAAAGACCAAATGGTTTTTTTAAAGGTCAAACAAAAGGATCAACATTCAATACTAAAAGTCAAGGGGACAGCTATATTTTTCTGTTAAGTCTGAATATGTGCACAAATGTATTTTTTCCTAATTTAAGACTCAATATACGTAAACTTAAAAAGAGGGGAACCGCCCAGTGTGGTGAGGCAGGTGGATCTCTGTGAGTTCAAGGCCAGCCTGGTCTACATAGTGAGTTCCAGGGCAGCTGGGGCTACAGGGAGACCCTGTCACAAAAAGACCAAAAAATAAAAATAAAAATAAAAAAGAGGGGAACCAGGAACGGTGGTGCACACTCACGGTGGTGCACACTAGTGGTTCCAGCACTTTGGGAGGCAGAGGTGGGATGATGGGGTGGGGTTCAAGGCCAGGCTCCTCCAGTACATGAGGCCAGCCTAGGTTATAAAAGACACTGTCTTTAACAGGTGAGGGAGCTGACAAGATGGCTCAGCAGTTAAGAGCACTGGCTGTTCTTGCAGAAGACCCGGGTTCAGTTCCCAGGACCCACACTGGAGGCTCCCAACCGGCGGTAACTCCAGTTCCAGAAGATCCAACAGATCCAGATCCAGAAGAGATCCCTCTTCTGACTTCCACAGTCATTGTGTTCCCCTGGCCGCACTTCCATGCAGGCAAAGCACTCATACACATAAAATAACAAGAAATAGAAGGTGAGGCAACTCTTTCCACCCCACCCTCATTTGGGGAGCCATGCCGCCAGACCTTGGCCAGCAACACAGCTACCAAAGGGCTCAAGAGCCCTGGGTGGGGGGCGGGGGGGGGAGGAGTGTAGTTTCCTGCATCACTACACACTCACCCCCTTGGGGAATCAAATTACAGACAAGAGAAGACAAGGCAAAGCCATTGGTTGATGGTGGTCCTTTAGCTAAAAGCCCGGTTCTAAGTTCCTTCTTCAACAGAAAATGGGTTTTCCCAGATACATTATTTTGAGATTCTGTAAAAAACACGAGGCTTAAGAGGTGGCTCAGTGGTTAAGGCCCTGGCTGCTCTTGCAGAGGACCAGGTTCAGTTCCCAGCACCCACATGAGAGCTAAGAACCGTCCTTAACTCCAGTTCCAGGGGATCCGACAGCCTCTTCTGACCTCATCGGGCACTGCACGACACGGGTGCACTTACCTACATGCAGGCAATACACTCGTACACATAAAATTAAAAAAATAAAATAAAACGTACTATGTATGGGGCTGGAGAGAGCGCTCAGCGGTTAAGAGCCCTGGCTGCTCTTGCAGAGGACCCAGGTTCGGTTCCCAGCACCACATGGCAGCTAACAACCGTCCTTAACTCCAGTTCCAAGGGATCCGACGCCCTCTTCTGACCTCCTCGGGCACTGCGCGACACGGGTGCACTAACACACATGCGGGCCACACACTCACACACGTAAAATTAGTAAAACGCCTGTAGTACGAGAATGCACCGTATTGTTCTCCAGGAAGGAGCCCGCGGTAGCCCGGCCACCGACCTGATGACACTGATGTGGAACTGGTCCTCGCGAAGGCCGCGCCAGGCTCCGGGCAGGAACTCCTTGCACCACAGGTAGGCCCGGCGCCGCGTCCGGGACTCCGGCTGCTCGTCGGCGGGAGGCGGTGAAGGCGGCGGCGGCGGTGGCGGCAGCGCGAGCGGCTGCGACCGGCCGCCCAGCTGTTTGGGCTCCAGCTCGGCCGCGGCGTCGCGCT